CTTGGGCCCAAACTCACACTCTCTCGCCTCCTCCCTCCCCCCCCCCCGTCTGTCTCCACTTTATTGCTCCTTTTCCAAGTCCCTCTTTCCCCCCACCTTCCCATTCTTATCCCTTTCAAGGCTTAATTTGGTTATCTGGAGACACTGGGTCTTGGCCAGTCAATGTCTAATCTATGAAAAAATTAGTATTTCCCAAACTAACAGTTATATCAAAGCCATTAAGCCCTGTTTCTTCCTTAAGCACAATCACTTTTCTCATAATTCTTACCTGAAGTACTAGCTTCTCATGAACAGGGATGGTATTGTACCTTCCACGACTCTCAGTGCAATGCCTTCAGCATAGAAATACTCAAACGCTATTTGAAGAAAGCAATGAGACTTTCAAGAATAATCATATGCTCTGAGAAGCTCAGGCCTGCAGTTAGCTCTAAGGACACTTTGTAAGCCCCTCAGTGACCCAGACCTAGAGTTGCAGGGAGCTAACAGTGTGGGGTTTCCTCATCCTGGTGATGCAGCTTGAACCACTGGGCTTAGCCGTAGATAAAGCTGGATCACTTATTTAAAGAACAAGCAATAAATATGACTTTTGGCAGTAAAATAGAAAGCAGAGAATTCTTTAGTTTTCATAGACATAAATGCCTGGGTAAAATGCATCCCCTTATTAACTAAAAATGATTTTGTCATGATTATCTGTTTAAAAAAATTATCTTCTCCTCCTTTGGCTTCCGAGTTAGAAATTCCCTTACAGGTGCTTATTCTAACAAGATGGGGGCAGTGGGCTCTGAACCTGGTCCAATCTCATTTCTGTCCCTTGCTCTGCCAGGGGAGGAAGCGGCGGGGGGGGGGGGGGGGGGGGTACTGATGGAGACTGAATGAATGGCTCTGGTCTCCCATCTCTGACCTCACCTCCACTTAGTAGAAATAAGAAAAAAGGACGGGGCACAAATGTGAAACCTCTACTTGTTCATTCATCCATTCATTCAACAATTACTTGTTCAGCACCTACTATGTGCCAGACGTTTTGCCAGGTCCAGGCGCTACAGAGATGAGAAAGTCACAGTTCCTGCTGGCAAGAAGCTCATAGTCTACCGGGGAGTAGAAGTGCCACCAAATTGTTCCTGAATACCGAGCTACTAGAAATAGGTATGAAACACTATGGGAGTACTGAAGAGGGGTCTCTCTCTTCGCACGAACAGAAGGAAGCTTAGAGACCTTGGAACGAGGCCTTGAAGGATGAGCACAGTTTTGCTAGATGGTATGGAGTGGTGAGGACCACCTAGCACTATGGTATCCAATGTGGTAGCCACCAGCCAACATGTGGCTGTTTGGATTTAAATTACTTAAAATCAAACAAAATCAAAACTTAGTTTCTCAGTTGTTCTGGCCACATTTCAAGTGCTCAAAAGCCACAGCGGGCTAGTGGCTATTGCATCGGACTGGGAAGATGCAGAACACTTCCATCACTGTCGAAAGTTTTATCGGACAGAGCTGTTCTGGACGAAGAGGACAGCGTGCCGATTTCCCGGACACCATTAGCTTGGGTCTGAAAATGCTTCCCTGAGGCTGCTTTCTGTGCCACGAGCCTCGGAGCCTTCAGAGCTGCCTCGTGGATAGGGAGCGGTCTGTGACGGCAAGGCCTGGAGAGCTGGGGGGGCCGAGGGCTTACAGCATGAGGCTGGCGGGCAGGCCCTCCTCATGGGCCATGGGCTCTGGGGGCTGGGCTGTGGATGTCGACGCTGCTTCTGCGCGCCGGCGGCCGTCAGCGAAGCTGGCGGCAGCTGGCCTGATGGCCTGCTACCTCGACGTCTCCAGGGCTCACCCAGCGGGCATCCGAACCTGAACCCCTCTTCTCCCACGCCCTGCTCCCCTGCAGTCCTGCCCCTCTCAGTTGGTGGGCATTTCCATTCTTCCAGCTGCTCAGGCCCAGACCCTGCGAGTTGCCTTACCTTCCCTTTCCTCTCCCGGCCCTATCCCTCCGCCTAACCTCTCTGCCAGTCCTGTTGGCTCTACGTTTCGAATAGGCTCCTGCTGACCACTTCTTACCATCTCCACTGCTGCCCCGGGTTGGAAACTGCATTATCTCTCACCTGGCGTTCTGCAGCAGCCTCCTAACTGGTCTCCCAGCTCTTCCCCCGCCCCCGGCCCCCTCCCAGCAGCTGGAGTGATGATGCTAATAGTTAGGTCATTTCAGTCCTCTGCTTAAAAGTCTCCAAATGCCCCCATTTTACTCAGAGTAAAAGTTAGAATCCTTACAATGTCCTATAAAACCCTTTGTGACCACAGGACCTGGCCCTGTTCCCTCTGTGACTTCATCTCTTACTGTTCTCCCCCTTGCATCCTCTACTCCAGCTACGCTGGCCTCCTCCCTGTTCCCAAGGGCCTTAGCTCTGGCTGTCCCCTCTGCATGGAAAGCCTTTTCTCCAGATATTCATATGCCAACTCCTCTATTGCTTTGGATCTTTGCTTAAATGTCAACTTCTCAACAAAGCTTATGACAATCTTATTTAAAATCGTAATCTGCACGCCACCCTGACTATCCCCAGAGTGCTCCATCCTCATTACCCTCCAATACTCTTTTCTCAAATGGCACATAACACCTAGCCTGCCTCTTCATTTATTGATTGATGATGCTCATTTTTGCTTTTCTGTCTCCCCTCATTAGAATATAGGCTAAGTGAAGGCAGGGGACTTCGTCAGTTATGTTCCCTGAGGTATCCTATGTGCCTAGAACGCACAGTGGTTGGTGGGAAGTATTCCTTTGTTGTTCTCATCCTAAGCTGCTCTCTGCCGCTGGCGGGGGGGAAGGTCTCCTCTACATGGGAGCCAATCAGCAGCCTGGTTTGGCAACCCCTAGCTTCTCCTTAGGATTGCTAAGTTAGGCTCCAGGAGTGGACTGACTTACGGAAATTCTCCGTCTGAAGTTGGAGGCTCAACCCTCAGGTGAGCTGACTCCAAAGGAGTCTTCTGCTTTTCTGAGGGTTCCAGGTTGAGAGAGGGTTGGAGGGGGTGGTCAGAGCTGTAAGGAAGGGCTCCTGGGCAGGGTGGTGGGTTAGGGACCCCCGATTGTATGGTAGAGAGTTTAGCCCACTTGCAGGATGTGTCCAAGGCAGCTGTCTCTTTTCAAAACTGCTCCATCATGCCCTCCAGTTGTAAGAGCCTCACGTGAGCATCTCTGATGATTCAGAAGCTGAATGGGACGGGGGGGGATTTCAGGCGTCAGAGTGGAGCTTGTCAATGGGTGGATGTGGCCTGGAGTTGAGCACAGAGCGAGGGGAGGGTGCTGTGGGCAGGGAGTTGGGAGCTCTGGCCCCCAGCCCCCACCTCTAAGCCATGGATTTTTCATCTGTTCAAAGGGAACAGTAAAGCCTGCCTGTCTCCCTTTCGGCGTTCTGAGGATCAAGTGAAATAATGTATATGAAAATGTTCCAAAGAGAATAAAGAGCTTTGCCAGGATAAAAAATTGCTTTTATTCCAAATGATAAGTCAAGGGTGAGATTTCTAAGAAGTCATTTGTGTGGGCTGTTGTTTCAAATCCTGTTTGTTTAAAAAAAAAAATAGAAAACAAATCCAGGCCTGCCCTATTCAAGGAAGAATGGCGGTGTGCTAGACGGTTTCTCAAGTCTGGGGTCCAGCCATTGCCCCCACAGTGGCTTGTTCTCAGATGCACATGTGCTGCTTGTCTGGGGACCCTCCAGCTGAGGGGACCCACTGCCTGGCTTGGGATGGGGCCGCAACCTTGTGGTAAGTGGGACCCATGCTCCTTGGTCATGAGGGTGGAACGGTGTGCCTCGAGCTTCACGGGCATCGCTCCGGGATGGAGGGCAGTTGGGTTAATAACTCGGTTGGTTCAGGCTCTGAGTGGAGAGCAGTGAAGAAGGAGGAGGGAAGCTTGTGTCTGTAGGGCATCTGTGCTTTGTGGGCCCATCGGTACGGTATAGCTCACCACACACCTGCGTCTCTCTAAGGTGTGACTATGCTTATTTTAAAAATGAGAAAACTGAGGCTAATAATCTGTCCCGGGGCCACACAGCTTACTGGTAGCTGGCAAAACTGCCATTGAACTCAGGTCTGTCTGGTTTCAAAAGCCGTGCCCTTGGCATAGTACTGTGCTCCCCACCTTCCATGGGTCAAGGGATGGGGCTCCAGTTTTGGCTCCTTCCTTTAGATGTGTGACCACAGGCAAGTCATTTAAACGTCTCTCATCCATTCCCTCAGGTCCAAAAGGCAGTGATCACTCTGTCCCTCACTGGGTATTTGTGAGCATCAAATGAAATAATGTATGTGGAGTGATCTGAATATTGTAAAATGTTGCATGCAAGTGGGGAATGACTATTATAATTTTGAAAGTGTTGCTTTTATCCTGTGACTGCCTTGCTCAAGAACCTTCCGTGAGTCACTCTTCCCTGACCTGATGGATTCTGGCCTCCCAAGTTCCATGCCTGTGCTCTCACTGACTGTCCTCCACCTAGCCTTCCTCTGGGTTCCAGTAAATGGCATGTCCATCACCACCTCTCTGCCAACATGGCGCTCTCCCCACCTGTCAAACCTGACACACATATGGTCTCCCTCCTCCAGGAAGCCCTCCCTCACAGCCTTACCGGTCTGAGCCACGTGGCTTTCAATGTGCTGCCTGGTGGCTGGGTACAAGTGCTCTCTAGTTGTTTCATAAGCTTGAGTACTTCTCTGCAAGGAGGTTTACGAGTCCTGCAGGGTTGAGATCATGGTTTTGTGCTCTTGCAATGCCCTCACGGCGCCTCATCCGGTACTTAGGACCCATAAGTTAAACACTCAGAAAATGTCAACCGATGGACTGATTCAGAGTCTTGGACCCATGTTTCCACTTTCTCAGGCTATGGCGGGTCATGGAGAGTTCTGGCAGCTTTTCCAGGCAGCCTCTTGCAGCCCCTAGGTCTCTTCCGGAAGAGGCGGCTTCCTGCCTGAGCTCACGCGGCGCCCGGCTTGGACCCGCCCCCTCCTGCCTGCCTGGCCAGACTGTCCCGGGGGCTCCGGCTCACAGCAGAGTTCCCTGTGTAAGAACTCCGACCTCAGCCATCGCCCCTACTCCGCGCTCCTTTCACACGCCACGCCTGGGCTGGGGGCTATGTCCTGGCTTGTCTTCCAAGAACCTCGAGAGAAGAGAGCACGTAGTAGGTGCTTGGCACTTATGCTTTACTAGGGCTGGACCCAGATCTCTAAGAAGGTTCAAGGAAAATCTGCAGACCTGGATTTCAAGGCTTGCCAGGTGCTTAGTATGACTGGGAATGAAGGTACAAGTACTGCAAGGGAGGGGACGGAACAGAGACAGCGTGGCTTTGGTGTCTGTCACACTGGTTTGCGCCCTGCTACTGGGCAGGTGACTCTGTCTCTCAGGGCCTCAGTGTCCTGGTGTGGAAATCATGGATGACAGCGACACACCATCACAATGTTGTCTTGAGCATGGCTTTAAACTGCATCTCGAATTCTGTCTGCAAGCCCCGTGTTCAGGGCTCAGCTTAGATGTCACCTTCTAAGAGAGACATCCCCCTACCCTAAGGAAGTCCCTGGCGCTGTCATGAATGTAGCACCCTGTTAATCCTTCCCGACACTTCTTGCCATCTGTAGTTATTATATTTATGTCCATGTGTGTTGTTTCCCTACTAGAATGTAAGCCCCACTTCCCCCCCGCCAGGGCAGGGAACACTCTACTCTTACTCACTGTTGTATTTCTAACTTCTAGAAAAATGCCTGGCAGTTAGTCGGTGCTCAGTATATTTTGGTTCCCTTTCTTTCCCTTCAGCAGTAAGTAGCATGTGGTCAGTCTCAGTGTCAGGAAGATCAGGTTTACCAGCAGCTCCTAAGCTAGCTTCTGCAAGGACGCAAAAGTCCGAGCGTGCACACATCAAAGAGGCTCCAGGAGGAGACCAACCAGTGCGGGGGGGAGGGAGACCCTGGTGCTGGGGATCTTTTAATCTGAAGCAGCAGAATAGATGCCCTACGTCTATCTAATGAACTGGCTTGGGGGTGTCCTCTGCCCTCAGCAGCCGGACACCTAGAATCCTCGAGGCCCTGGGACAGGTCGAGGCTGCTCCCACCTGACCACCCGCAGAGCGGTAGGGCCATGGGCCTTTTTGGGGACAGCAGCTGGGTTTTGCCGTCCTTCCCGCACCCACCCCTCCCTCCCAGTGCTGAGTGAGCCCCAGACTTTTCCCTGCATGTGGCCAGCACGCTGCCCCGGGGCCGCTGAGGACAGACACTATGGAAGCTGTGACCTTGGGAAGATGGCCATGAGTGTGTGCAGGGGGTGGGGGAGTGTTGGCTTAAACTTCTTTGGAGAGAAGAGAAATGAAGGACAGAAGACAAGGGAGAGGGGAAAGCAGGGGGGGGGGAGGGAAGGGGAAGGTGGGGAGGGCGGAGAGAGAAATGTTGGAGCAAAGGACTTTTTTTTTTTTTAATCTTAGAAATGTTTGAATTGGTGGGAAGGAGCCAGTTGACAGGGAGAGTTTGAAAATGCAGGAACGCAGGGTAAGGAAGAGCGAATCACTGGACAGAGTCTAGGGTGCCGATCTCCCCGGCTGGCCCAGGACTGAGGGGCTTCCCAGGAGGTGGGAAGAGGCATGAAGGGGACTTCTCCATGGACATCCAATGGGGCGCGCTGGCCCAGGTGAGCTGGCCAGGTTGTGGGTATGGGTGTGACTGTGGTGGAGAGGGGGACAGGTGACTAAGGGTACACGTTCATATGCCTCCTGAGGCCTCCCAGGGATCGAACCTCACCTCACCTCCACCCCCACAAAAGCACATTTCCTGGGCAGCCATGTGACGCTGGAAAGCCACCCAGTCTTACCAGGCCCCCTATGCCTCAGATGTAAAACAAGGAGAGAGGGTTGGATGATGTCTGAGGTACTTTCCAGGCCCTGTTGAGCTGTTGCAAGTCAACGGTTGAAGTTGCTTGTGATGGGTTTAATGGCCCTGGCTGTTCACAGGGGTCTCCGGGGGGATCATCTTGCCTCTTGCCAATCCTGCTTTGGAGGACATGGCTTTGGGATGGTGGGGAGGCATGCGAGCGGGTGCACCTAGGCTTGTCCACCCTCAGGAAGCTCTGCAGCCTGAGTAGGGTCTGGGTGAGCCAGGCACCACGTGGTGACATCAGTCTGTGAGGGGAGACATGATTTCAGCAGCAGCACCATGTGGCTCGGGTAGAAGTGACAACAGTGGGAAATTGGCGGGGTGGGGAGGGGGGTGCTGGTGAGCTGATCGGATTTCTCAATTATTTCTTTACACTAACCGGTTTGGGCTGAGCCAGCACCTGGGGCTCTTCAGTTTTGTGGGGAGCGGGGGTCCCAGGAGAGATGCTACCAGCCATCCTTCAGTTTGGGCTGGCGGGGAGGGGTGCTGAGTGATGAATGCACGTATGAAAAACAGATATGGCTTTATTTTCCAAGCTGATGGAGCAGGTCATGCCAATTACATTAGCTTTTGAAAAGAAGCAAAGCAAACAAACAAACAAGAAATACCACGTATGGGTCCGTAATAGTGTTCATGTGTGTTGTATGTTGGGGGGAGGGGGCTAAAATCCCAAATCAATAAGGTCATTAAATTATCTCTGTTGAGTGTTTAAGGCTATTACTTTAAGCGAACACAGGGCAGTTGGCTGTGTTTTCTGTAATCAGCTTTGGACTCATTGGGCATATTGATCTCTTCCAGCGCTATCTGGTGTTCTGGAAACATCAGCGCGGTCTTCCCCCACCCCTCCTCCTCCTTCCTCCTCTTCTTCCCGAGGCTTCTAAAAAGCAAAAACACAATTCTCTCTGCTGGCTGGGCTGCAAGTTTTCCACTTCACATCATCATCATTTGTTCTAAAAGCAAAATGCAATTTTCTGCGACTCTTTACACTTCTGTGTGTGTGTGTGTGTGTGTGTGCGTGCACACACACACACACACACAGCCTCTGTGCTCAACAATGTGCTTTTTAATATAGCGAAGGAGCAAAGACAACAGGTCCACTATAGTCCTGGGCATATCCCAGGGCAGGGAAGCCATTCCCAGTCCAGCAAGAAACATTGTGCCCATTGAGACTGCTCTCTAGCTCTGGGTGGCTCACAATCCCAATCTTTGTGACTACCAAAGAATCCTGGCCTGTACCCATCCCCTTGGACCCCACCCTGCTGGCCCCCAAAGGTCACTGACAGTGATGTCACGGAAAAGCATGTGGTCACAGAGCCTGTCCTCAGAAGAAGCACAGAAACCCTCGGTGGATCCTTGAAGCTGGTGGAGTTACCCACTCCCTGCCATCTCAGCCCAGCCCTGAGCCCTGGAGAATCTCTTAGTTTCCCCCAGCTTCGAGGTAGCACAGCAGGGGAAGGACTCCATCCTGGCCTGAGTGGCCTGAGTGGCCTGAGTGGGACTGTGAGCCAAGAAGGTGTGGCAGTCTGCCATGTCCACCCTCCGTGGCACCCATCTCTGTCGAGGACTGAGCAAGGGGGACCCTGACCCCTCCCCTTAGACCTCCTGCTGCTCATCTGCTTTAGCCCCATTCTCGCTGGACTCACGTCCATGTCTTGCATTCATTTGCCTTTTTGATCCCTCTCTCTCCCCCCTTTACTCTCCGCAGAACTGACAGACACAGATGTACCTGTATACACACATACCACACACACACACCCCTGTCCTCATTAATCCACTCTGAGAGGGTCAGCCTCATCCGACTCAGCCCAGAGAACCCAGGGAAGCCCCGCTGGAGAGGGAGAAGCGCCATTAGCTGGAGCCTACACACACCTGCCTCAAGTTTGGGGACACAGAGATCCTGGGTGCTCTGGGGCAATAGAGAGAGAATTACAAAGAAAACAGCAACATTTATAGTAAAACTGCATTGACTGAGCACTGTCCATGTGTCCGAAGTATTCCACATACATCATTTCCCATCCACTCCTGGAGGGAGGTGTGTCTGTGGCATTTTAGCGCTAAAGAAGGTGAGTCTCCATGGCGAGGGCAAACCCTTAGGTGGTAGACTTGAAACCAGACTTTGACTCCAAATCTGAGACCCTCTGTTCTATCCTGAGGCTTAGACATGACAACAAGTGACTAGGATTATTTGCACTCCAGAAGGGAAGATGTGGGCTGCTACGTGTGTATGTGGTGGGGGCTGGGGTGGCCAGTTTAAGGAGTTTGGAGCCCTGGTAAGGAGGTGGGATGAAGCCATGATGCACTTTCCTAATGTCATCCTCCCCGACACTTGTCTCCTCCTCTCTTCTTGGGATCAGGGCCTTTCAACTTAACTCTGCCCAAGACCGCCTCCGTGACTGCCACCACCCAGCAACCCACTGCTGTTTGGAAAGAGTCCCGGCTCCCATTCTGGGAGCTCCGCTCTGCTTCTCTCCCCACTCAGGCCACTCTGCCTCACTTGCTGGGCCTCAGCTCCGTGTACTTCTGACTACCAGGCTCTGCGTTGGCTGTGCCCTTTGCCTGACACATCTCTGTCCCCTCATCTTTTTGGTGACCTCCTCTGATATTCTGAGTCCCAACTTGTGACACTGTCCCTAATCCTCATCCCCACTGTCTTCCCCTAACACTGCACACCTAACCTTGCACTCCAGGTACGGCCAAAGCTGTATTTTAGACAGATCACTGTATCGGTGGGGCAGATGTTGGCCGGCTGAGATGCTAAGGGCTGGGAGAACATTTGGAGTCCATTGCAACCATTCTGGGGAAAGGGAACCAGGGCAGGGGATGGAAAGAAGGGTTCTTGGCTGGGGGTGGGGGCAGGTTCTGAGGTTGAGAATCCCAGATGGAACTGAGTTGACCCCCAGGGTCAGACTAAAGGAGGCTAGCACCTGTCCAAGGTGGGGCTCAGGAAAGTTTTGCCTCTCGGCAGGGGACATCCCGAGAAGACCTTTGGAAGACCCTTTCAACCCTTTAACTGATTCTGTTATAACTGTGGCATCCTCCGGGTTGCTCAGAAGGCAGGAGCTCTAAAAATAGAAAGCCTTATTATTACCGATTAAATTTCTTTCCACCTACAGAATTTTCTGAAAGTAATAATAAGAGGAAGCCTGAGTCTGCTGAAGTGTTCAGGGAGCAGAGATGTATTGAGAGGTGATGAGAGAGAGAGGGCATAGAGAATGTGAGGCCAGGCAGGTAAGAAAGGGTTAGGGGAAAAACCACTTATCAAACACACTGAGGGGTAAAGGGACCTTCCAGAGGGTGTGGAGCTTCCAAGGGAGGTACACGTGAATATTAAAACCATAGAGTTCCCACTGAGACCATTGCCTGAGCCAGGGGAGGACATCGGCCT